CTCTCTTTCTTCTCTTCCTCTTTCTTCCGCGTCTCTGTTCCTCCCACCCTCTCCTCTCTTTCTCTTTCCGTCGCCGTCTCCCCTGATCTTCCTCCCTCTCTTTATCTTCCTCTCGCTCGTTCGCGCGCTGTATCCTTACGCGCTCGTCGGACTCTCACGCGGCACGCTCGGCGGTGGTGCGGCCTCCTTGACACGGGCCCCGCTCTGCCCCCCGCGGTACAACTAAGTTCCGTAAGCTGGCTCGGGCTGGCAGCTCGGAACCGGCGCGACCGACACCGGTAGGGTCCCTCGCGGCCGCGCAACAGTCCTCGTGCGACGCGCGACCGCGCGAGCGAGCGCTCGGCTCGGAGCCGGCCAGCGGCACTCCACCGCCTCCTCCTACTCCTCTCTTGGTCCTCTCTTCCTCCTTCTCCTCCTTTTTCTTTTCTCTTCGGCTGTTTCTTCTTCCCCTACCAACCCCGGAGAGACGGTACTCCGACGTTCGTTCGTTCCTTCCTCCCCTTCCTCTTGCGCACTCCCTCGCTCGCTCCTTGCCTTCTTCTTTCTCTTCTTCTTCTTCTTCCCGTCTCGCGGACCCAGAGTTCAACCAGAAGCAGCCAAGCAGGAGACCGCGATCGCCCTCTTCTCGCAGGAGCGAGGGAAGAAGACGGAAGAGAGGGGACGATCCCCCGTCGACGTCGGGGAAAACGAACGAGCGGGCCGAAGCGAGTGAGCGCGCGCGACGTCGTCCGTCGCGGAAGGCCGAGAGAAGGCACTCTCTTCTCGGTCCGGTCCGGTCCTTTCGGCGGAGGAATTCTAGCTGGCGTGGCTCGGCGCGACCGCCGCCTCCACCTTCCTTCCTTCCCTCCACCCGGAGTCCATTCAGAGACCTCCCTGGATGGGACGGTCCGCACACATCATCGGTCTACTCGGTGCCCGGTTCCGCGCGATATTTTGTGACTGCCTGTCTGTGCGGTGCTCGGTGCTTTAGCCTGTGCTTCTCGGCTCCCTAGACCCATCGAGGAATAGGGAGGTCGACATGACCCGGTTGGGATTGCGGTGAGTTTCTTATTAATCTCATTTTTTTTTTTCCGATTCCGTCGCGTTACTCCGATTTCTTCCCTCGGCCCGATTTCCACGGCCGTCGCTTCCTCTTCATCCTCTCGTTACCTCTTCTTCCTCTTCTTCGTCTCTTTCTTCGCCCGCTGGGTGTTTCCTGCGCCATTCGTTTTTGCTTTTGGCTCGCCGCCCGTCGGGCCGATCGCGCTCTGTCTCACGGAGGGGATAGTTTCACCCCCGTTACGCGCAGGTTTCCGCGGAAAGGTGAGAGGACCTCCCAAGGACGATCGCGAGAGGTGAACTCGCGTGCGCGCAGGAGATCGTCTTCCCGGTGTAGCTCCGACGCAGCCGCGAATCGTACCCCGTGCCTTCCGCGTTTTTTCACCTCGTTCACGCGAGTTCTTCTTTTCTTTTTCTTTCGTTATGTCGGGTTCTTTTACCTCAGTGACAAATATTTACTCTTACTGATTCAACGACGTTGAATCTGCGCGAGAGCGATTCCTTACGAAATCGTTAATTCCACATTTTGAATATACGTGTCGATTCGAACAAATTTAGTAAATGTACTTAAACGTTGTGCAAAATATATACTTTTTTTCATGCAATGTTGCAAAAATATAATTTTTAAAATCGTCAAATTTATTTTCGGAAGAATATGAACTTCATCGAATAAATATTTTTTTAAATAAATATCTACATCTTTCTTTATACCATTTACACAATTTTCCTCCTTTTTATTATTCCGCTTATTCCTTTTTTGACATGATTAAATATGCCTCTATAAAATAACATTCCGATGCAATTTTGCTTTCAGATTCGTCGCATTCGCAGTTTGCCTGGCCGGGATTGTTAGTGGGGTGGTATGTAAAAATATATTATTCATTTTCGTGACAGAATTTTTTCACATAATTTCTTGTTTTGTTTTCTCCATTCTTTATTTACTTTCTCTGTAACGCGCGCTGCAAAATTCAGAATACTCTCCAAAAAAATATAGCGCATGTTTTTTTTTTTTAGTAATATTTTAACTATAAAAAAATCTAATTGTTATTTTAGTGTTTTCAAAGTGCTACCTAATTTTTGCGCGAGTCGGCGCAATTTTAACGGTGTTATAAAAAATTATCAATGTTCACAATTGAAATCGGCAAATTTATTTTGCGTTTGATCAACGTGCCAACAGGGAAATCAGGCAAACATAATTCGGACATATTGTTTATGTACCTGATTGTTTGTATACCTGCATTCTTGCGGTACATCGTGTTGATGCGACCAGTTCCATTGCTCGCGGTCATTATTTCGTCGGTCCATTCATCAACGCGATCGCATGCGTGTGCGTCTATTCGAGGCACTTCTGACGCGTAGCTGGTGCATCCGCAGCTACGTGCACCTACGGCGTGCGCACGTATTGCAATTTGTTCGCCGAGTGAAAAAGATAGACCCGGAGAGATCGAGAGGGATCGCGTTTCAATTGGTCGGATCGAGCGTGGCTCGCTGCGATCGTCGTCGAAATGCGCGTGCAGTTTGAGAACACCGAACTTGTGAAGAGAGATCTTATCACGTTTGCCGCACGTGCGCACCCACGCGCATTTCTCGTTTTTCCCCGATAGAGAGATATTTATAAAAAATATTTCTAGTATCCCGCGTTTCGACGTTCTCCTAGAGTTGATTGAACGATATGCGAAATACTGAAAAATAAATGGCGAACTGTAAATCTGCAATTTTCAACGCTTACGCGTTGCGATTAAAGATGCATTGCTGTTTTGCGTCTGAGCGTTAAATTTTACTTGTTAATTTTGAGATCTCCTATGCGGGTGTAAAAGCAAAATACGCATTGCACTTCGTTCGTATGCGAAATGTTATAGAGAATAGAAGGGAGAGGGGAGTTTCATGTAAGTGGCGGGGTCTGTATTTTAAGCGCGTTACATACTGCTACCCGGCGATAAGAGTCGTTTTATGGAAAATTACCAAGATGTATGACAAATATAGCGGTGATTGTAGAGGACGTAATAAAACTGACCAGAATTTTGCTAACTCGTGCTGCGTTAATTGGTCTTTGCGTCCAAATTAGAAATGACAGTATTTACAAAGACGAAACGATCGATACTAATTAATTTCATTTATATCTATTATTTGATTATGCAATTTAATACTTAACTTCTGATTATTAGAGATATAATAGATTCCTTAAAATAATTTTGTATCAAGTATATTTTCATCGTCTCGATATTTTCTTCAAGAATTTATTTATATTTGAAAATGTGCTTAAAACTATTGAAATTCAGATGTATCAATATCTGAACATTTATCAAATAAAATGTAAGCTTTCGGTATATAAAATATTTATTCTTCTTAATTTGATCAATATTTTTATAAAAATGCGGAATTTTTCTAAGATTTGGATAATTTTCAATAATTATTAAAGATAAATTATATAAAATTATTATAATAGAATTAATCATCCAAATTAATTGTTATGTATCAAATCTTACACTATTTACATTATTTAGTTCTTAGTAGCTTCTGCTGTTGGTAGTGATACGGTAGTGATAGCAGTCAATTATTAGATTCTTCTTCTCATATCTATTCGCATCGCCCTTTCGTAATCTTTCTTCGACCTAATTTCTTGGAATGCTCGGCCAGAACTAAGTAGCGCAGTGGGAAGCATCAGAATTCTGTTCACGAAATGACGTCAGCAAGGTTCCTCTGCATACTGTCTACATAAAGTTTACACCAATTCATAATAAACTATAAACTAATAGATAAATAAAGCTAATGAATGGTTTATATCAATACAAAGGATCCACAAAATGCTTAAATTACGTCATACGTAATTTTTTCGCTTATTTCGAAGTAATTATATTAAATATAGAAGAAGCTATTCAAACATTTACGGGATAGAAGCGATACCTAACAGACCTCCTTTCAAGATAGATCTCTCGTAAACCTAGATAATCAATACAGATCGTTCCAAAGATAGGCGATCGATAAGATCGCGGCACGCCATTCACCATCGGCACTCTCTGTTCCGATTTTCCACGTCTCGTTACCGAGACCTCCGCGGCTCTTTTTACGTTTTCCTCTCAGGCGGGAAACGGGAAGGTGTTAGATCCGAAATAGGGCAGTCGTCTCTTACTGACCAGTCCGCCTACGGCGCCGTAGTAACTGCGCTCGCTGTAATTTTATTACCGCCGCCACGTATGCGCGCACCATGCACGCGAGCCAGCTTAGTCACTACTGGAAATAGTCGGCAATTGAGCGAGCTCGGGACTTGATTTCCCCGAGACTGGCAGACTGGTCGGAAGCCCGCGGGGGCGCACCGGGATAAAACAGCACCGTTCCCCCGTTTCCCTTCCCGTTTGCACTCGCTCTCCCCGTTGCATTCGCAATTCTTCAGGTGAAGAATCTCTTCCTCATTCGAAAATTTTTCGCACGGTAAAATACACGGGGGGATTTCCCCGTCGTTGAGTCTCGCGGATCAGCGATTTTGTCACGTAGGCGTGCTACGGAGCTGCGGAAGCACCAACGATTTGTTTGTGTGACATCGGAGTAGGATATTTGAGATTAGGAATTTGAAGAACAGCAGTATTTTTAATGAAATATCTAATATATATAATCATTCGCACTGCTTTATAAATTAAATGAGGAAAACAAAAAATATTTATTTATAAATCATGTAAATATTTCTTGTTTCTTTCACTTCGTGTTCAACACGAAGTTAAAAGGTCTAAGAATTACTACGAAAGATTATGTTCATGTTATTTTATTGTCTCTCTCTCTCTTGAAAAGTTCAACCAATGATGAATTGATGTGTGCGATTTAATTGATAAAGATTGAAAAAGGTTCATTAAAGATTCAAGATTAATGGGAACTTTGAGACTTGTTGTGATTACAAAGTATTACATAAGAACCACGATCAACATTCTGCAATTCACAAAGTCAACAAGTTCTATACCGGCATCTTTGACTTGTTGTTGTTAATTAATTGAATTGCAAATTTCTCTTCGCGTCCCTCTGTGTCCCCGATAAATTCCCCGTTTGGTTGAGCGAGGCAGATTAAAATCGGCGGACGCATCGGAATCCCGTCATCTGATGCCGCCGCGCATTTATGCTCATGAATAAGCGTGGTGCCGCCTCGGGATCAGAAAAAATCTCGAGTAACGAATTAGCGTATACCCCGTCCCACGTAAAGTTAACGTCAGCGGTCGGCTGCGGTCGTTAAACACGCCGGACTCGAATGTGACGGCGAAAGATGAAAAAGAGACGCGAGCGGGCCGAGACTCGATGCAGAAAAAAAAAGAGACGAAGAAGAAAAAGAAGAAGACCGAGAAGAGAAGAGGAGAAGACGAAGAAGGTCGCCGAGGGGTGGGAAGGATGGACGAAGGAGGGACAGGCAGCCATCGTGCGGTCGGTCACAATATACTCCGCGTTGCGTAATCGCGGATTCACGAAGGCGGCCGAGATAGGCGATAAAAGGGACAATTCTTGAACCGTCACGAAAAGATATCTCGTATAAGAGATAAAAGAGAATTGGGTTAAGCGTTTCGTTAAACGAAATTGCCGGCATGGATCATCCTCGCACGAGCGAATTTCAATCAGCCCCGATCTCGTAGGGTCGTTTGCTTCTTCAGTCAACGGTCTCTTGACTATTCGTCGTCAACTATCGGTATAATGATTGTAAATCGACCGATTAGTATCCGAGTATCTTGACTCGGCTCGAGGGACGTTAACCTGACCTGGTCACGGTGCTGCATCATGATTTGCGAAGTTAATGTGCATGATTTTCAGTCTGGACCGCTTTTTCACGGCGAGTGGAATCTCTCGGTTAAACGCGAAAATATACCGTTGCGTTTTTTTAAAGCCTAAAGAACGTAAAAAAGAGCACCCTCCCAATAATGAAGATATTAACTTTCTTTCGACATTGGAACAATGGCGCGATTTTCCGATCCGGAGCATATTTTTATTTAATATGTATCCCATTATTTTTTATTTTATTATTATTTTATTTTATTATTTATTTTTTATTTTATTATTTATTTTTATTTAACATGTATTCCATTATTTTTACGGTTAATTTATAAAAATTCGTTAAATGTTAAACAACGTAACAACTTAATTCATAACAAATCAAATTTCAAATTGTTAAACTTTAAAATAAAATTTTACAATGTAAAATAAATTAATTTTTAATATTATCTCAGAGATTATCACTACTTTTGTTCAAAATAATTCAATCATTCTATAATATATGTAATATAATAATCTTAATTTATTCGCAACGTATATATTGAGTTTTGCTGAAGATAATTAACTAAATATAATAAATATGCAACGCTTTTGCATACGTCGAATCGCAGCTTGTCGCACGCGATTCATACTCGAGATTGAAAGTGCTAAACGGTTTTCTAATCTGTACATCATCTGGCACGGCATCAGCTCGCTCTGGCAGTTATCATCTGCATAACTCATGAATCGTGTAACGTTGGGCAGGATAATTTCACGGTTTGCAGATTCGCAGCGTGGTACGGCGCGCTCTATCTATAGATCGGTCAATTCATTGTTGAACGATGGGTTTATCATTGAGACGAAACCTCCACCCTCTCATCGCTTTCCTGCCAGTTAGGTTTACCGGCCGACACGAGTAATTTCCGTGCGCGGCTTTGATTTTCTGCTTCCCCTTTTGCACGATCTGTGCGAGCATAATGATGTATGAGTATGCAATAAGTCGAAATTGATTGT